TGACCCCGCGGGTGCGATTTCAGCACCAGAGAGTTCTCGAGCAGCTCAAGGAGAGGTGCGACCGCCAGGACTCTTTCGAGCTGCCGTCGGAGACGATGGGCGCCCACTTGGTCTTATGCTTCACGTCCTTCTACTTGCAGGGCGAGCAGGCCTCGACAGGCGCGTGCGCGGCGGCGGCGGCGAACCTCTTCCACCCGAAGTTTGGGGGCTGCGGGCAGAGGCGCTGCCGCGGATGTGGAAGGCGCTGAAGGGCTGGGAGCGGCTTGCGCCCGGGCGAGCCAGGGTGCCGGAGCCGCTTCGTGGTCAGCGCATGATGGCGGCGTTATTAACGATGGCTGTCTCGATCCACCTGCGTCCGCCATCGCTCTGCAGGCTGCTCCCTGGGGATATCGCGAGACCATGCAATGGCCGCTTGCGCGGCGGGCTGCCGATGCACCCTCGGGAGCGCGCGACGCCCGACAAGGCAGGGTGTTCGACCTCAGCGTGAGGCTCGACTCGTCGTGGCTTCTGTTTCTCATCCCCGTTCTCGGCGACATGCAGCGTCAGAACCCTCGCCAACCAGTCCGGGCTTTCGATTGTCCTCAGCTGTTGCGCCAGATGAAGGACACGCGCCAGCGCCTCCAGCTCCGTCGGGTCACGCCCTGCCAGGCGAAGCACTCGGGCCCGGTCGTCGACCGCGCCGCGAGCGCGCGGCTGGTGCCAGTTGAAGAACGTGGCGCGGCGCGTGAAGGGCGCTCGCCTGGGCCGTCCTTGTCGGCGCGCGGGCTCTGCGCGCCGCTTCTTGGGGCCCTGTCTCCGCCGTCGTGCTTACGCTGTCTGGGGGCGGGGGGCTGGCCGAAAATATATATATATATATATATATATATAACTAAAAACAATATATATATATATATTACTTTTTGGTTATGTATATATATGTATATACATGTATAAATGTGTGTATATATATATATATATATATATATATATCTTTTTTCTTCTCCTGTCGGAGACCTTCCTGCGGCCCGCGGCCTCGAGCTGCGTGCAGCCTGGGGGCCTGCCTGGGGCCCCGCGCGGTCCCATCGTCGCGATAGTGCTCTCGATGGGGCTGCAGGGGCAGCCGCGCCCTCCTGGGCCGCCTTGCCCGGGGCCGCTGATCTGCGGGCGCAGCTGCCCCGGGCGCCCACCCCCCCCCCGACGCGGGTAAACGCGACGTGCCCCAGGCCGGTCTCCTGTCCGCCGTGCCCGACGCCGGAAGGCGCCGACGGCCCCGGGCCTTCGACCAGGCGGGCGGCTGCCGCGGCTGGACAAGGCAGCCTACAGGCTCATGGATGTAGTTGGCCTGGGCGACGCGAAGGGCTGGCCCTGGGGGGCGGGGCGGCGGCGGGCGACTGGCCGGTGGAGGTCGTGGGCGCCGTGGTGCCCGACTGGAAGTTGGCGCCGCTGGACGCGATGTTTGGGCGCCGCTTCCCGGCTCGGCGGGCGCCGGTGGGCCGCGGAGGAGCGGCGCCTAGCGGCGGCCCTCCGGGGGGCGAGGCGACAGAGGCGGCCGGCGGGGTTGCCGGCGGCGGCGGCGCAGTTGAGGGTTGCCCTCGGCGCGGGCCGAGGCGGCAAATCATGGGGGCCGTTTCGTAACACCCTGGCGAATCTCAGCTACTATTTAGTGCTGTTTCGCATTGCTTAGTGCGGTTTAGTGCGGCGCGTGTCTTCCCTCTCCCTCCCCCGCCTTTCCACTCCCAGCTGTTCCTCCGCTTCCCTCATGGTGCCCCCGCGTCTTTCTCTCCCCATTCAGGCCCGTGCTGCCCGCGCGCGATTTTTAGCGACGTTCCCTCCCGCGTGACAGGTCGTTGCGTTGGGGCGAGGGGTTTGCGGCCCCAGCGCGCGCGCTCCCGAACTCCCCCATGGGGTGCGGTTGGATACCACCAGCGCGATTTCTCCCGGCATGCCTTGCTTATCGGGCCCGCCCCGTCGCGGCGCTCGGGGCGCTTCGCCGCTGCTCGCAGCAGAAAAGCTTCAGAGCAGAAGCAAGGCGGCAGCGACAGGGCGGCGGTGAACGCTGCCGCTGCTGGCGCTCGCCGGCCAGGCGGCGCCGCAGGAATGTTTTCGCGCGTGCCCGCTCGAGGAAAGTGAGCCCCCCAGCTTGGATCCTCGATAAATCGCGAGGTCTGGAGCCCCGACCGCGACACACAAAAGCGTTCCGCGCGCAGGAATTCCGAGGATGTCTCGCGCGTGCCGCGTCCCGCGAGCACGAATATGGAGGATGTCTCGACTACATCGTTTGTTTTTAGGATTTCTTTTGATTTTGCCAGGATGTCTCGAGCGAAACGCTTGGTTGTCATAATTTGTTGAAGATGTCTCGAGCGAAACGCTGGTTTTGCAACATTGGGGGATGTCTGGAGAGGCCTCGTGGGGGCCAGAATTCAAAGGATGTCTCAAGCGAAATGGTTGTTTTCACGTCCCGCGCGCATGACTTCCGAGGATGTCTCGCGCGTGCCACGTCCCGCGCGTAGGAATTTTGAGGATGTCTCGACTAATTCGCTTGTTGTTCCAAGAATTCCTTGGATTTTGGCAGGATATCTCGAGCGAAACGCTTGTCCCCAGCACATTCCGTAGCGCGTCCCCTTGGCACGTCCCGCGGTGCGTCCCCATGGCACGTCCCCTGGCACGTCGTTTGGCGCGTCCCTTGAGACGTTCCGCGGCGCGTCCTGCTGGCATGTCCCCCTGTAAATTAGCTCTGGGGCAGCTACTTTGTGTTCAGGCAGCTCGAGCTTAAGGTCCAGATCAGTTCGGTCAGGACTCGGATGCAATGGAGGACTCGATCCACGACGCTATAGAGCACAATCGCGGCATGGCACATCGCAATTCAGCACGGCGCAGCACAGCACAGATTTCGGCACGGTGCATCAAGATCGATACATACAGCATTGCAACTTGGCGCGTTCCTTGGCACGTTCCGTGGGGCGTCCCTTGGCGAGTCCCCCTGGCACGTCGCGTGGCGCGTCCCCTGGCACATCCCGTGGCACATCCATTGGCACGTTCCGTAGCGCGTCCCCTTGGCACGTCCCGCGGTGTGACCCCATGGCACGTCCCCTGGCACGTCGCTTGGCGCGTCCCTTGAGACGTTCCGCGGCGCGTCCTCCTGGCATGTCCCCCTGTAAATTAGCTCTGGGGCAGCTACTTTGTGTTCAGGCAGCTCGAGCTTAAGGTCCAGATCAGTTCGGTCAGGACTCGGATGCAATGGAGGACTCGATCCACGACGCTATAAAGCACAATCGCGGCATGGCACATCGCAATTCAGCACGGCGCAGCACAGCACAGCCCTCGGCAGGGTACATCAAGATCGATACACTCAGCATTTCATTTGCCCGTCACCCAATCAGGTGTCTTTGAAAACGTTGCCATGCGTTACAGCTCTGTATTCCTTTCCGGGTTCGTGGGTCGATCATGCTTTTCCCCCCCAAAGTTTGAGCGAACATCCGGTTTTGGGATGACAACGGACCTTGACTGTGTGTGTGCTCATCGCAGTTGCTCTCTCTATATATACATATATATATATTCAGTCCCCGCGACGACTCTGTTCTGTTCACGGGATCGTTGCCACAGTAAGCTAATTATTTTATTCCTGGCGCTGCTCCCCGCCCCAGCTCTGAAGCAGCGTGGGAGTACGGGCGCATGACTGATGCCAGAGGGCGCCCGTTTCGTGGCTCGTGGGGCCGCTTCCCTGTCGGCGCGCGGGCGCCTTGATAACTGCGCGTCGCTCCTTGGGGCCTTGTCTCCGCTGACCGTCATGCTTGCACTGCCTGGGACGTGCTGGCCATGCCACTGAGCTTTCTCTGTAACTGCACTTTTTTGGCTCCCACCGCCAGCCCAAGGCCTCTATTGGTTTTCAAACCTTCTTTCGCATGCTGTGCTGTTCAGGGACTCAATGTGTGTGAGCACACAGCAGTTGCTGTGTGTGTATATATATACAGTCCCTGCGAAGACTGTGTTATGTTCACGGGAAAGTTGCCACAGTAAACTAATCACTTTGTTGATGGCGCAGTTTCCCGTCCCAGTTCTGAAGCAGCATGCTGATGGTGATGATGATGATCATGCTGATGCTGATGCTTATGCTTCTGATGATGATTATCATATTGGTTATGATGAAACGTATGGCGGTGATGCTGCTGATGATGATGCTGATGCCCATGCTACTGCTGATGATGACGATGCTGATCATATAGGTGATGATGGATATGACGATGATGGTGATGATGAGGATGATTGTGGTGATGCGTCTGATGATGATGATGATGCTGCTGCTGCTGATGATGATGATGATGATGATAATGAAACTGGTGATGATGATGATGATGATGCTGATGATGATGAGGATGATGATGATGATGATGATGCTGATGATGATGATGATGATGAAACTGGTGATGATGATGATGCTGATGATGATGATGATGACGGATCTGTTGATGATGCTGATGTTGTTGATGGTGATGATGCCGATGATGACGATGATGATGATGATGATGATGATGATGATGATGATGATGATGATGATGATGATGATGATGATGATGGTGATGATGATGATGATGATGATGATGATGATGATGATGATGATGATGATTATGATGATGATGATGCTGATGCTGATGATGATGATGATGAGATGATGATGATGATGATGATGATGATGATGATGATGATGATGATGATGATGATGGTGGTGGTGTGTGGTGGTGGTGGTGGTGGTGGTGTGGTTGATGATGATGATGAGATGAGAGGAGGAGGAGGAGAGGAGGATGAGGAGGAGGAGGAGGAGAGGAGGAGGAGGAGGAGGAGGGGAGAGGAGGAGGAGGAGGAGGAGGAGAGAGGAGGAGGAGGAGGAGGAGGAGGAGGAGGAGGAGAGGAGGAGGAGGAGGAGGAGGAGGAGAGGAGGAGGGGAGGGAGAGGAGGAAGAGGAGGAGGAGGAGGAGGAGGAGGAGGACGAGACAGGGTATGGCAAATAAAGCAGACCACGCCAGGAATACCCAGACATCCTCAAGGACTTCACCCGGGAGGCCTGTCTCGCGGTTGGGTTTGACATACATTGAGTTGACCTATGACACCCTTTGCCGCAATGTGAGGGGCCAGGATAGGGAGAAGTAGAGGAGGAGGAGGCGGAGGAGGATGAGGAGAAGGAGGAGTTATCGGCAGGACGCGGGGTTGGTATCATTGATGGTTTGGGAGAGTGAGATGTATCAGCGTGTGAGAAGCGACGCTCGTTTTTGAGTGGAGACTGCTGGGTGGCGCGCAGAGATTGATGAGAATGTCAACGTCTAATAGACGACCTTCGCTTCCTTCCCGTATTATTGTTCCGCCTGCATGTCGCCCGCATGCCGCCCGCATGCTTGTGTAGGGCCGACTTGCTGCCGACACACCCTGTGAAAGCGAGAGTGCTGGATAGCTCAGTGTTTGCCCCTCGTCTCACTTGTTTCTTATCCGTAAGCATTGCGGCTCCCAGGGCCCTTGAGTCTCAGGCGACATGCGACAAATATCAGCGCCTATCTCAGAAGTTGCATCTTCACATTGGTAGCAGGAACTGTTCGACCCACGGACACGCCTTCGCAGCACCGAAGAGAAGCAGCTCGCAGCATCGAGAGAAGCAGCTCGCGGCATCGAGTTCGGCGGACAGACCGCCACACATTAACAAGTACGAGGCCGGAGATCTACAGGGAGATCTGCAGCAGGACCGGCAAGGATGGCTCCCAAGGTGGACCCGTCCGAGGAAGCAGCAGAAGGTGAGGAAGGACGTGCCCAGCAGCAGGGAGGACCACACGTTCCAGCGCCCGCCTTCGACCCACAGACGATGACGATGAAGGATTACAGGAGGCGAGTGGCGATATTCAAGATAAGAACCAGACTGCCCCTTGAGAGGCAGGCCGCGGAGCTCTACGCAGAACTGAAGGGCGACGCCTGGATTCATGCAGAGGACCTCGACCCGACGGAGCTTCAGAATGACGAAAGGGTCCAAGTGTTGTTCGACTTCTTAGCAGATAAGTTCGACGACGAGAAGGTGATGGAGCTCGGGTCCGAGCTCAAGATTTTCTTCACACGCATGCGCCGCGACAGCGGCGAGGAGATCAGGGCTTTCATCAACCGCTTCGACACGCATGTGTCGAGACTTAAGACAATGCAAATCGAGTTCCCAGATCAAGCGCTGGCGTGGTTGATCATGTGGTGGCTTGGCCTGCCGCCAGATCGAGAAGCTGGAGTATTGAACGCCAATCAGAATAAATACGACCTCGAGCCTTTACAGAAGCATACATTGCTTAACGTGAAGGACGCCAAAGCACTGGACAAGCACAACCCCCGGAGGCCAGCACCCATGACACCACTAGCGCCCCGAGGCCCACCAGCACGACCTCGACGATGGGGAGCTCACATCACCGAGAACGACGAAGAGGAAGATCTCGAGGTGTACGAGACCCAGGTGGACGACGATGACCTGCAGGAGAGGTTACTTGAGGAGCACGAGGAAGCGGAGGCCGAAGTTTACAAGTTGGAGAAAATGCTCGCCCGAGCGAAGGACAGGGTCAAAAAGACGCCAAGCAAGCTAGAGGATTTTATCATAGAGATGGGCTACCTGGGCGCGGACCTGGTAAAGGACCTGGCGGGAGAGGCACTCCTGGAGGCGGCAGGGGGCCCGGCGGCAAGGGCTCGGGCCGCATCGAGAAGCTAAAGGCGAGGACTCACTGCGCAGTGTGCCGGAAGCTGGGGCACTGGAAGGGCGACCCCGAAGTGTGCAGGGGCGCCAAGTAAGGAGCACGCGACGACTGCCGACGACCATGACGAAGGCGACCAGGGACCAGAGCAGTATCTCACGAGCTGGAGCAGCAAGGAGAAGCATATCGAGAAGCATACGTTCTTCATCAACAACAACGTGCTGATGACCGGCACGGGCACCGTGAACGTCATCATGGCTACGAAAGAGGAGCTGCTGCAGCAGCGCGGCGGCAAACTGCTACCATACTCGTGCTGCGCCAAGTCCGTTGGAGGGCAGGTTTGGCATGGCGACGTCAAGAAGCGGCTTGCGAAGGTGGGCCTTGGGCCGATCGAGTTTGACGAACATGAAGTTTTCAGGTTCGGCGCTGGGAAGCCAGTCGTGGGCGCGATTGGAGCGCTGGTGCCGCTCGCTGTGCGCGGGCGCCCCTTCGCGCTGAGGATATCCATCGTGCCGCGCCTGGTCCCCGCGCTGCTGTCGCAGACGGCTGTTGGTCAGCTGGTTGCAGTGCGCGACCGTGAGGTGGTGGCTGGCGAGAGCGCCATGACGTTCAGGAAGCTGGGGGTCTCCAGCTTCGAGCTCGGACAGACCGAGAGCCGGCGTCCGAGTTTCGATGCGCTGGGCTTCGACAGGGCTTACATGTTTACCGTGGCTCCAGACGTGGGCCCCGGCCAGACAGAGATCAGGCTGCTTCCGCCATCGCGGCGCTGGTGGGAAGAACTCGAGAGGAGCCCCCGTCATCATCGCTCGCAGGATCATCGCGCTATGGAGGCCTCTCAAGAACAGGTGCGAGATGTTCCTGGTGGGCCTCCAACGGGATCCCAACGGGCCCCGCGTCAACCACATCAAGAGCGACCCGAGTCACGAGGAGCCGAGCTTCAACTTCTCGAGGGATCCGAATCAGCACGAGCTAAGCTTCAACGACTGCGAGAGCGACCCCGAGTCATTGCGAACTAAATTTCAGAAAGCCCCAGGAGCACCCCAACGAGAACCCTGGTCGGGCCAGTTTCAGGAAACGGATAAGCGTGCCGAAGTGCAGAAACCCATGCAAAAGCAGCAAGCACCAGCGCCAGCAATATGCGCGATTCCACATGACGGACGATGATGAAACAGTTCGGCCTCAGCCAAATATGGTTCAGACCGTTTCAGGTGATTCCTCAAGATCAGTGTTTCCATTCATGCGCGGATGCCCCTCAGCGTGCTGGGGTGGATCCAGGGTTGGGGCATCTTCGATGTCGGCGCCAACAAGAGGTGCAACACCGTAGCGCTGATGCGCTGGGAGCAGATTTTCAAGCTGGCGTTCTTAGCCATAGCGATGACCAGGCACCCGGCGGTGGCCATCATCTGCCACAACGGGCGCCGCCGCGGCCAGGGGGAGATCCTCGAGAGGCAGGCCGAGGCGCCAGCGCCCAGACGACTACCACCACTGGGGACTGTGGTCAAGGTGGAGTTGCAGGAGGAGATGGAGAGCAACGGGCTGGAGTTCCAAGGCCTGGGCTGCAGAGAGATGCGCGTGATCCTCGGCGAGCAGCGGATCGAGAACGGCCCGAGCCGCAGAGGAGCTCGAGCTGCAGATCCAGAACTCCTGGGACTCGCCAAGAAGTCACGAGCAGAGGTGGCCCAGCTGGCCAGGAAACGCAACGGGAAAGTTACCGACGACATGCTCGAGGACAAAATCGCGCGTTTGTTGCTGGGGCAGACACCGAAAGCAGTCAAGAAGGAAGAGGCCAAGGACGAGGTACCGCTGCTTACGACTTCGAAGGTTGCTTCAGCGACCAGGAGTGCTTCCTTGGCCCGTCGGAGCTCAGGAAGGGGGCAACGAGCAAGACCAGTGGGGCCACAGCCCTCGGAAGATTCAGAGAGCGACGAACCGCCAACCAGGAGAAGGAGCTCATCGATCAGCGACATGGCTATTGCAGCAGAAGACATCGGCGTAGAGGAGGACCAGACTTGGGAGATGCTAGTTCCGAAGGGGAAGAGAAGGGAACCGCGGGGGAAAAGCGCGAGATGAAGCCGGGACATATCCAGCGCTACAAGGACATGATCAAGGATACCGTCAGTTCCCTGACGTGGCAGACCGCGTTCCTCGGCACCTTTCTGGCGAAGCCGCTCTTCTCGGGAGGCAAGGCTATCGTGCAAGATCACTGCGACGTGTTCGACGTCAAGACCGACCCGAGCTACGACTTGATGCAGATCCTCGCTGGCGAGGCCGTCATCTCAGAGGAGTTCAGTCGAGCCGGACTCAAGGTGTGCGAGCCCATAGATCAGATCTACAACCTGCGGAGCGCCCAAGATCGGCGAGATATTCTACAGCTCTACCGCGCATGCAAGCCGAAGCTCTTCGCGCTGGAGTGCCCCATCACACTCTGGGCACAACTTACCAGTGTGAACTATCGAGGCGAAGCTAAACAACAACAACTACGTCGCCAGCGTCTCTGAGATCGCCCCCTACTAGACTTCGTGGATGAGATCGGTATGATGCAGCTGAACAGCAAGCGAGACATCCTGTTCGAGAATCCATTGACGTCGGAGGTATTCAAGCAGTCCCAGATCAAGCGTTTAAAGGAGCATCCCCGGGTTAAAGATGTGAAGGTCGACATGTGCCACTTCAACCTACGACGCCAGCAGTCTAACGGAATGGTCAAGATGCCGACGAAGCTTGGTCTCTAATAACTCCTACGTCAAGCGGCTGAGCAGGCAATGTGACGGACGTCGCCCGCATCACCAACTGGAAGGAGCTCACTGCGCGCGCAGGGCAGGGCGATGCACCAGAGAGTTCGCGAAGGCAGTCTTGCAAGCATACCAGCACAGCAACATGACCTACATGATGGAGAACGGAGTCTACGCGACCGGCGATTTGATGGATCTTATGGGCGGCGAATCGGACGAGCGGTTCTACTACGAGAACGTGGGCGATTTTACCGAGATACTGGTCAAGTTGCCAGATGGACCTGACTGGGGCCGCGTAGGCAGAAGAAGGGTCGTTGACCTCGAGACCGACGCGGTGGTGCAGGACTTCGAGAAGGCCGATGCCACCGCGGATTTGAGCAAGCCGAAGTTGGATCGCGCTGCCAAGCTGAAGATTCAGCTATGGTACAAGCCAGAACTTGTTGCAGAGGACATCGGGGCCAAGGCCATCCAGTTTGGACCTGGATGTTCAGAGTGCTCAAGCAAGGACCTCGCAGCTCTACGACAACTTCACCAGAACTTGGGCCACCCCAGCAACGAGGATCTTGCCAGATCGTTCAGGATGCAGACCAGAGGTAGTGAAGGCCGCGAAGTCTCTATGATGCGCGACGTGCATGGGCAAGGCTTGGAAGAAAATCGCGAGACCAGCTAGATTTTCCCACGCAGCCGACTTCAATGAACAGATTGGTTTGGATCGTTATACGATCAAGGATGTGGATGGTCAGTCATGGGATTTCTTATCGGTGGTGGATTTGGGTACGACGTTTCACGTTGTGGGCATGATTGAAAGTCATCATTCGGAAGTCTTGGTTAAGGTATTCACTCAGATATGGACAGGCTGGGCAGGGCCACCAGCAAGTGCAGTCGTGGATTTGGAGCGTGGATTTGGTTCGGTCTTTCAGGATGCGCTTGAAAAGTTCAATTGCGTGGTCGTTCCAGTGGCCGGCCAGGCAGCATGGCAACGCGGGCGGACTGACTGCCGAGGAGGTTGGTGAAAGGAGTTGGCCGAGAGAACCATTTCGCACGCCGCGGCCTCGGGTGAGTCCGACATGCGCATCGTCGCTTCCGTGGTCACGGGGGCCAAGAATGCACTGCGACGTCAATGTGGTTTCAGTCCAGAACAGTGGGTTTTCAGCAAGAGCTCGCGACTACCAGCTGATCTAGTGGACGGAGCTCACCATGGCGCAGCGCGTGCAGGAGCCGAACTACAACCGATGGAACGACAGCTGAAGATGCGGACCGACGCCCGCGAGGCTTGCATGGAAATGCAGAACGATAACGCGCTACGCAAGGCACTGCTGGGCCGTGCCCGCGTGCACCCCCATCCGCTTGAGCAAGGGGGCCTTTGTTTCTACTACCGCCAGCTCAAGAAGGGCTCGATCGAAAAGGGCACCTGGTTGGGGCCAGCCGTGATCGTGGGGCAACAAGGCCAGAGCTACTGGATATCGCACGGTGGTTTCACCGAGCTCGTAGCTCCAGAACACATTCGGCCAGTTACTACTGAAGAAGTCTGGTGGCCGGGAATAGACGATCAGCATGGAGAGGCCCTCGACCAACTTCAGCGACTACGCCGTGACACAGACGCCAGCGCCGACGCGGAGTGCGAAGATCTTCGAGGAGAACAACCACCGCCAACAGCATAAGAAGAACAAGTTGTGGAGATGGAGGCGGATGCTGCAGGGGCCCCCGCCGAGGATGCATCAGGAGTTCGTGATGATGTTGAGCTCTCACCTGCAGAGGAGCTCCCATCTGGCCAAGCTCACGCGCCCTCATTATCGCCTGCCCCGCTTTCAACGCATACACCCAGACAAGTGCAGGATAACCCTGTACCCAACTACGAGGACTGGAACCGCGAGAAGTTTCAGCGACGCCGAGCAGCCTACAGCCCCCTCGATGACGTACCACATTGCATTCGAGGGAGCCCGCAGCAAGAAGAAGCTGCCCACCGCGTCGCTGGACGACAAGCCGCTCGACAAGCGGGGCAGCCTTACATCGTCAGCATCACCGGTGAGAGCGACCGGGGTACTGCCACCAACTCCAGCTTCGCAGTAACGCTTCGTGGAGCTCGAGCTCAGAGCGAAAGGCTCAGAAATAAGCTTCAAGACAAAGAGATCGCTTGGAAGGACATCCCCGAGGAACACAAGCCAATCTACCGAAAAAACCATCGCCGAGCACTAGGAGGAGTGGAAGAAGTTTGGTTCCGTGGAGGCGCTTTCGCTGGAGGAATCTCAACAAGCCCGGGGCGAGAATGACAGCAACCGCTTCGTGTTCCGTGACGAGAATGTCAATATCCGCACCGAAGCTAACCCCGTGCCGGTGAAGGCCAAGGCTCGACTATGTGCTGGAGGACATCGTGATCCAGATCTACAGACAGGAGCTCTACGGACAGACGTTTCTACAGTGACGCGAACCAGTTCGCTACTGTTCTTTATCATGGCGGCGCGTTTCGACTGGGGCCCAGTGCGTGCCGACATCATGTCCGCGTTCATGCAGGGGGGGGGGCAGCCCAGAGACAGATTTTTTTAGTGGAGCAGCCGCCCCAAGGTCTACCAGGACTTCAGCCAGGACAAGTATTGCGCATCGTCGAGGGCATTTTTGGACTGGCGACTGCCCCGCGACAGTGGTGGGCTACTCTCAAGAACGCACTGCTTAGGGTTGAGCTCGTAAGCAAGGATGGCCACAAGTTCCACTTAGTTCAAAGCCTGATGGATCCAGTTTTTTTTGTCCCACATGGCTCAGACGGAACTCTGCAAGCTATTGTGTGTGTGTGTTCGCATGGATGATTCACGGATTGCTTCCAGTACTCAAGCCAGCTATGATGTAATCGAGAAGCTGTTTCCGTTCGGAGGTTGGCAAGGGCTAGATTTCATTTTGCGGTAAGGATGTTGTTCAGCGTTCAGACGGAGCAAGTCGAATGGGCGAGTCAGTGTTCGCCGAGAAGCTAGAACCGCTCGAGTTGACCAAGGAGCGCGAACGAGATCTAGGATGCCCTGCCACTGAGATCGAGATCGCCGAAAACCGGAGCTCGATTGGCAGTTTGGGTTGCCTCGCTACGCAAACTCGACCAGACCTAGCTGCGGGAGTTTCGATGGCTCAGAGAGTACAGAACTCGCCGACGGTGGCCGACCTGATCGAGACGAATCGCATCGTATCCGAGGCCAAGCGTTACAATGAGACCGCCATCGCGATCCCGAAGTTGCAGGGCGAGCTCTGCATTCTAGTGAGGCGGGATTTTTAATGTTCGCGGCCGAGAAGAGGGTCATCCAGGACGGAGAAGGCAAGGCAGCTTTGGTTGACTGGCGGCCAGCTACAATTCGAAGGGTACGCCGAAGCACATTTGCAGCAGAGACTATGAGTGCAGTGGGTTCTATGGGAGCAGCTATTGTTCTGCGTGCTTCAGTTCTTAATATTTTATTTTCCGAAGATGAGCATCGGCAGCTTCGATAATACTTTATGCCCGATTCAGTGTGTATCGGACTGTGCTTCTTTATATGATACAATTCGCCGAAAAGGAGCTGTCAAACTTCCAGCTGAGCGTAGATTGGTTTTGGATTTGATCGGACTACGAGAACTCATGGAGGACGAGATTGCGGAAGAAGTTGCCGCAGCGACTAAATCCAAGTTGCCTTTGGCTTGGTGTCCGACTAAATATATGCTAGCCGCTGCGCTAACTTAACGAATGGATGGATCGCAGATCAGGAAATCGATGGATGGAGTTATCATGTATCACCAATACACCCCGCCTGAGGGCGACCACGACTCGAATGTGATGCTGAGTGCGTGGGCGACCGATTGGAGTACATGGTTTGATGTATTCCTGCAGTGGACAGATATTGATAACGTGAGCCTACTCTCCCTATTCCATATTACGAAGCCCATCGGCTGCCTGCTTATTTTTCAATTGCAAACTGTTTGCGCTGGTGTCTGTTGCTTTTGAGACGGTGGATTTCGCCCGCTGCGGGACCTGGGAGTTTTGATTTTTAGCACGCTGCTGTGCCCTCCGTCTTTGTGCTTCTTGAGTGACAAGGGGCAACCTAATTTTAGAATCAGTGTGAAAGCGAGAGTGCTGGATAGCCCAGTGTTTGCCCCTCGTCTCACTTGTTTCTTATCCGTAAACATTGCGGCTCCCAGGGCCCTTGAGTCTCAGGCGGCATACGAAACGTTTCAGCGCCTATCTCAGAAGTTGCATCTTCACACACCCCGATCCGAGAAAAATGCAATCCCCGGCATTAGGGGTCAGTCCCTGGCAGACGAGATCAATCCCCAGAAGACAGTTTCACGATTCTGAGCTTGGAAGGCCTCTTGGAGCGCTCTTCGGGCCTCTTTGGGCCCTCGTGGGCCGTCTTGGAACCATCGTCGGCCGCCTTAGAACACTCTTGGCCTCGGCAGTGCGAATATTGTGCGTTTGCGAAGTTTTATGGCTTCGAAGACTCGAAAACTGTGTAGTTCTAGACGCTTCGCGCAACCCCACCAGCCCATCCAGAGACGATGCCCAGAGGAGTTGCCTCGATGAGGGAAGAGGGCGGGAGCGACGGCGGGAACGAGGGCGGGAGCGACGGCGGGAATGAGGGCGGGGGGCCGCCTTTGGGCGCCTCTGGGATTCCTCCGGACGCCTCTGGAACCTGCGCTTCTGGGAATCCCCCGGGCGCTTCCGGGAAACCTCCGGGCACCTCCGGGGCGCCTCAGGGCCTCCGGGGAACCTCTGGGGAACCTCCAGGAAGTCTGTTCGAAGTATGTTTGAAATCTGTTTGAGGTTCAGGTCTGTTTGAGGTCTGTTTAAGATTTGTTTGAGGTCTGTTTGAGGTCTGGCCGAAACTGTTTCAAGTTTATTTCCCCGGGTGGCCATCGGGTTCCCAGGGCTTTCCTCGGGCGGCCCCGGAACGAGGGCGAGAACGAAAGCGAGACTGAGGGCGGGAAGGAGGGCGGGGGCGGAAGGAGGGCGGGGGCGAGGGCGAGAACGACGGCGGGAACGAATGCGAGAACGACGGCGGGAACGAGGGCGAGATCGAGGGCGAGAACGAGGGCGGGAATTAGGGCGGGGGGGAGGGCGGGAGGGAGGGCGGGAACGAGGGCGATAACGAGGGCGGCAGCGACTTCGGGAACGAGGGCGGGAGCGGCGGCGGGATCGAAGGCGAAAACGAGGGCGGGAACGAAGGTTTGAACGAGGGCGGGAACGAGGGTGGGAACGAGGGCGGGAACGACGGTGAGAGCAAGGGCGGGATCGCAGGCGGGAAGGAGGGCCAGCTGGGAGCGCTCTAGGGACACTCTTGGGCGTTCTCGGGGCCGTATTGGGGCTGTCTTGGGCCTCTCTTGCGTCTTGGGGGCCTCTTGGCGGTCTGGGGGGCCTCGTGGAGCGGCTCGGGTGACTCGTGAAGTCTCTTGGGGCCTCTTAGGGGTCTCTTGGGAGACTCTTGGGCGCTGCGGCGCCACGGCGCCACCCGTTTCGGGACGGCTTCCAGGCCGATGGAGCGTGTCGTTCGTCCGCTCGTTTGGAGGCCTCTTTGGCGCCTTTTGGCGCCTCCTGGGCGCCTCTTGGGGCCCTCTTGAGGCTCTCCTGGGAGCCTTGGGAGCTCTCTGAGGGCCATCTTGGAGGACATCGATGAAACAAGAGTTGAGCTTGAATTAGCAGTGCCCCTCGGGAGCCCCAACAGCTGCCTCTTGGGGCGCTCTTGGGCCGTCTTGGGGCTCTCTTGAGCCTCTCTTGGAGCCCTCTCGGGCCATCTTGGAGCCTTCTTGAGGCCTCGGATGGCCATCGGAAGCGAAAAGGTGAGAAAGCAAAACACATTGGTTTAACGTAGGTTTTGGACGGGGCCTCCTTGGGGAACTTTTTGGCCACTTGGAGCCGTCTTGGAGCGGTCTTGGGGCCTCTTGGAGCATCTTGGAAGCTACCTTGAGACATCTTGGGATATCTTGGGCCATCTTGGAGTTCATCTTGTCCAGGTCCAGGGGGGGGGGTAAGGGGGTGTGCAACCCCGTCCCCGAAGTGCAAGAGGGGCAGTTGGAAGACAAGCCACCCTAGACCACATACGCCCTAAAGGGCTGGTGGGATTTACGCGGGTTTGTTGCCTCGGGGACACACAAATTGTGTATTTCATGAGGGTTTGTGGCCTCGGGGACGCGACTATTGTGTAATTAACGCGGGATTATTACCTCGGGGGCGCGAATCTCAAGTATTCATACGTGTCCCACGCCCGCCCGTGAATTCAGAGAACGTTGTCCGGGCGTGGTGAATTGGGAGGTTTGGGGTTCCCCCCCTTCGCGCGGACTTCAACAATTTACAGTAGGAAACAGAAAGCCTGACTGTAACACTGGAGACTTGAAACTGCAACTGGTGCAGGAAGCCGCATTTTCTTCCTACAGCCTGGTGGCCCCATAAGGGGGCTGGCGGATTTGGTGATTGTGACGATGGTTACGCTCATTATGATGGTTTTGATGACGATGATGAGGAGGAGGAGGGCGCTGAAGACGAAGATGCCAACCAATGGTAGGATGGGGGTGGGTCGAATGATGCGGGGTAGGAAGAACGGGGACGTCTGCGAGGGGGTTGCTTGGGAACTGATTGTTCGGAGCAGGCCTGGAGCGAAACTCCTGTTGTGGGCATCTCGGTCTTTGCAACTCCTGTTGTCCTGTCTGGGGGGGGAGGGGGCGGATGGAGGGGGAAGGGGGGGGCATGAACAGAGAGTCGGTTATGAGCCTCGGCAACAGGGGGCGCGAGGAGGGAGAGTGAGGATGGGAGGAGTGGGGGGGGAGGGGAAGGGAGGAGGGAGATGGTGGCGGACTGAGGAGGGAAGAGCGAGTGGGAACGTGGAGGAAGAGGGGGATGATGAGTAAGTGGGGCGGGAGAATGATCGGTGGCAGAGCCCGAGGTCCTCCGGAACCAGCCGTCCAACATCAATGAGTTTGCGGCGAAGTATTTCGATTGCTTGGCCAGCGGGCTGCCCGCAGACATGGCCGACCGCGGCAAGGAGGCGGCTGCGAAGCAGGACCGGGCCTCAAGAGAAGTAAGGAATAGGGGGAACAGTAGCAGGCAGGGAGGGGAGGAGGGGGAGGGGGAGGAGTAGGAGAATGAGGATGAGGAGGACGAGGAGGAATGAGGAGGAGAAAGAGGTCAGGGGGTAACGCGCCGTCTAGTCGCTGGCCGTTGCGACTGGACCCGGCAGTCGCCGATTCCTGCCGCCCGCCAAAGGCTGGCGGTCCCGCCGGGGAGGCCTTGATCATCGTGGTTGTTTCGGAGTCTATTGCATACTTTGTTTTCCCCTGCGCCGGGGTGTCTCGCTTCGACTGGATTCGGAGAGGGGTGGGGGGAACGGGAACGTCGGGGAGATGCGATGCGGCGGGGAATGAGGGGGGGGCGGGGAATGAGGGGAGATGGGAAAGGCAAGGCGGAGGGTGAGGGGGAGCGGAGGAGTCACATGGTCCGTTGGCAGGCCAAGAGAAATCGAGGAGGATGATTTGGTGGAGGAGGATGTTTGGCGAGAGCGACGAGGACGACGACGAGGACGAGCACGACGACGACGGCGGCGACGTTGACGACGACATCGACGACGATGACGACGACGACGACAACGACACGACGACACGACGATACGACACGACGACGACGACCACGACGACGACGACACGACGACGACGACGATGGTGGTGATGGTGATTATGATGATGCTGCTGATGATGATGATGATGTTGATGATGGTGATGCTGATGCTGATGATGCTGATGCTGTTGATGATGATGATGATGATGACGACGAGGATGATAATGATGATGATGATGCTTCTGACGATGACGATTCGGATGATGCTGCTGCTGTTGCTGCTGATGATGCTGCTGATGATGACGATGATGGTGGTTGTGATGATGATGATGAGGATGCTGATGACGATGACGATGATGATGATGATGATGATGATGATGATGATGATGATGATGATGTTGATGATGATAAGGATGATGATGAGGATGATGATGATGAGGATGATGCTGATGCTGATGCTGATGCTGATGCTAATGCTGATGGTGATGCTGCTCATGATGATCATTATGTTATGATGCTGATGCTTATGCTGATGATCAATATGATCATGATTATCAGTATGATCATGATAATGGTGGTGGTGGTGTTGGTGGTGGTGATAATGCTGAGTTGGCTGATCTTGATGACGGTTATGATGGTGGAGATGATGGTGGTGATGATGCAGATGTTGCTGTGGTTGGTGGTGGTGACGATGTTGATCGCATCGCTTTGACAGGAGTCAAGTGGCGGAGCCGAGAGACCCCCATTCAAGACCCAGGCGAGAGATCAGCCCCTCGGCGGGAGAACCCCGCCGATAAAATCGGGACGAACCCTCCTTCCCAACACTCAGAGGCCTCAGGGGATAGATCCCGTCCCAGTGTTGGCCACTCATTCAAAGTACTTGCTCTGGGTTCCCATCTACCTTGCTACTTGAACAGTCGAAGTTGCAACTTTCTACTTGCCGACACACTAACCTCTGCAATTCTACGTTTGTTCTCGTTGCGCCTGGGGTGATCCGTGTCTGTATTATGGACGTGCCCTTTCGCGCCTGTTCTGGTCTGGAGCCCCTGCCGGCCTACTGGTTTGTCGGCGATGTGTATCGACATTTCGGGAAGCCGTGCCCAGGACGGCGAGGGGGTAACAAAGTCTCGCGGTGCGCCCATAAGCTACCTTACCCTATCAGTGACCGAAGGACCAGGACCCTCAGATGCTGACGTGCTGAGGCAGAGCGAGGAGGACCAGGAGCGAGAAACGGAGGCAAGACCACTAACGAACTGGTATCATGCAGTCTTTCACTCGCGCTTGCGTAGACCAGTCCTGCTGGATGGTACCCGTGCAGGAGGCCCTCGCAAGCAAAGGCGGGCGACAACACGGAGGAGAGAAGGAGCGGGGAGCGGAGCGAGAGGAGAAGACTCAGAGACGTCTGCAGGACGCCAAGATGCCAGAAAGGAAGCAGCACTCCCAGAGGGTCGGCGTACCGTTCAACAGGCAAGTACAAGGTTCCCAGTTGCGAAGATCAAGTCAGTGCCCAGGTTGCGCGCCATGCATGCTGCCACCCGACCGAGGACCGAGGGCCGACGATTGGCGAAATCCTGAGGGGCGAACCGCCCGCACAGGCTAAAATTTCCTACCGGGGCTCCAGCGCCAGAGACCACCTGCCCGTCGGTTGACGAGGAGGCCAACGCTTCGAAGCCGTAAATAAAACGCCTCCTGCAGAAGAAACGTCAGCCACACTCGTCAATCTGCCAAGTATGCGAGGACAGCTACAACTTGCGAAAAGAAAGCAGTGAGCGAGGAGAAATGGGACAGGATCCAGAGCACACCAAACGCGAGCAAACCAAGCGATATCGAGAGTGCACTGCACGGCCTCACGACCAGCCATCATGCAGTAACGACTTCGAGGGGGAGGGATGAGGGGGGAGGAAGGAATGGAGTGCACCCAGTTGACGCACGGCAGAGCCAAAACTCATACGCTGGCAGAGTCGAACTGCGGTCTACCCAAGCACCCGCAGTCGCAGCCGCCAGGGTAGCCCCAGGACGGCAGGAGATCTCAGTTTGCCCTTTTGGTCTTTCTTTTGGCCCTTGGGATGACGAGGAAGACCTAGCGGCGAGACGATGGGATGGAAACAGGGGGAGGGAGAAGAAGCGAAAGCAGCAGGAGAAGGAAAGCGGATGGGAGAGGAGGAGCGGGAGGAGGGAGGAAGAGTGGCGACAACGGGCATGAAAGCCATGAGGGTCATGGGGAAGGTGGTATGGCAACGGGAGCGAACGGGGAGGAGGCGAAGGCCAAGGGGAAGTGGAGCGAAGATGGGGGATGCTCCTCCACCACCTCGTCTTCCTTCAAATCCCGCCCTCGTCCTCATAGGCCTCCCGCCTTACACTCCTACGTAGTGTGTAATGGCCATCGTCATCGTCGTCAAGGTCATCACCATCATCCTCCTCATCATCATCATCACCACCAGCATCAGCATTAGCATCATCCTCATCATCATCACCACATTAGTATTATTAATATTATTATTCGTGCTTTTATCATTCGCATGTCTAATTCCAGTATAATCATTATTCGCATTCGTATGTGTATTAGTCTTGTCAGTAGTATCGTTCATGTATAATATGTGTTTTTCGTTTTACTAGCAAAAGCATCTTTGTCCTTGTCATTAATATCCGCAGTGACATGATTCTAATTGTTCTTCCCGCCATCATCAACATCATCAGCATCGACATCGGCGTCTTCCATGCTTCGCATCATCTGCCGACCTCCTCCACCCGTTCCTCTTCCTCCGTCCATCTCGTCGTTGCCGCCTACAGCTACCATTATCATCCTTCTCGTCACTTCCTTCCCCCATGTTTCTCCTCAGCACCCTCTTCCTCCCCTCCTTCTGACATTGCCGCTGCTACGCATTATCCGACTTCACCTTTTCAAAGTCCCCTCCCGTCCTCCCGATGATCAGCTTGTACCACCAGACTACGCTTGGAGTGATCTGGACGTTGGCCTGCGATTGCAGAAATACAAACGCATTTGCGCACGTATTTTGATTACGACCTGTGCACTGGCGGAGGGCGGACGGTTCTCAATATCGGGGCCTCGATTTCGGACATTCACAGCATGTCATACACACGGGGGCACCACCAACAACTAATACTACACCGTTGGTGGGTTAGTCCTTATGAACAGCGTACCAACGGCATATTTACCGAAGTTGGAATTTCTAGTAGCTAGACGACTGGCCACGCGCTGTTTTCACAATGATGCTGTCGCCCTGAAAGCTTTTACAATGGTTCTTGCTAGTTCCAACTGTTACTCGTATGAAGGGTGACTCCGCCTTAGAGTATGGTTCTCTCGTGGGAGCGTGTTCGCAGTTCAGGCTGGTGGAGTGTGGGGGTTCCAACATATACGCTGGCTGAGGATGGCTCATATCTAGAAGCGCGCTCCCGCTTTCTGGAAACAGCTACTAGATGCATGGTCGGAGGGCGGTTCCATTCAAAGCCTGCTATGCTAGTTGTGATCGCTATCGTTTTTTCATGGCGCCTCGAGGGGGGAGAGTTCAGAGGAGGACTCGTGCAATGGTGTGCATCAGACGTGCGGCGTTCGTCGTTCGTCTCGGGAGCGCTTCGATCCGGGCCGCGTGTATCGCGTCCATAACTGTCACTCAAAGGATGTGCAGTGCTGATTGCCGTGGTGTGAACGGTAGCTGGCTCTTCCTCGTCACACCACAAGACGTGTCGGTACGGCGGTCCGAGCCGTTCGCTCGAGTTATCCTCACATTTCACAGTTTTGATGATCGCCTTTTCCAGCAATTGCGTGGATGGAGGGTGGGCTCTCTTCAAGATGTGACTCGCCGTGGCGCCACGCATGCTCGTTTTGGCAGCTTCCTTAGTGTACACGCTTGATGGTACCAGCTACAGCTGCAAAGCATTGCGTGGCAAACTGAATTCCCAGAAGTGGCGATCTCAGAACGGCCACTGATGGGTCCGTTGCCAGATGGCCAACATCAGATTGCACACATGGAGGACGGACGGATTTCAAAACGTTGCTCTAGCTCTGCGCGGCGCACATTTGCTCCACCAGCCGCCGACCCCCCCTCAGATTGCTTGAGTGGCCTCGCTTGGTCGGTTGGTAGGTTGGTTGGTTTTCTTGTTGGTTGGCTGGTTGGCAAGTCGGCTGACTGGCTTGTTGTCTACATTCATGGTTGGCAGTTGGTTTTTGGGCTGTTTGTAAGCTGGCTTTTACGCGCCTGTGAAGTGCTTGTAGTAATTTGCTGGGGTTCGCGTCTTCGGGAGCGCGCGCCCCCAGCTACTTTCAGGGATTCGGGACCTCGGGTCCAGAGCCGAATAGTCAGAACACAACGGTGGGCAGCAAAGCGCCTCACGAAAACAGATCCCAACCCAGAAAACCTCAGATTTCTGTTCTGCTGGGTGGGGGGGGCGCTTTTCGTCAGCCACCAGGGTGTAGGTTTGTGGCCTGGGGGATGCGAACTTGCTGGAATTTACATGGTGCTGTGGCCTCGGAAGCGCGGACGCGTCGTCATTTGCAAGTGATTGTGGCCTCAGGGGGGCGCGAGTCTATTTTATTTTGCAAGTGGTTGAGGCCCCGGGGGCGCGAACCTGTTTTATTCGAAAACAAATATAAAATGGATTGGGGCCTCTGGAGCGCCAAGGGTTTGTAGCCTCGGGCCTCGGGGGCGCAAGTATGTTGTATTCCTACCGGTCACAGGGCACCCCCAGAAACTCCGAGCATGTGATTCTGGGAGGGAGATGGGGTCCTTTCCGGGCTCCTCCCGATTTCGGTATGTACAATACTGGAGTTATAGACAAGGGAGAATCTGTGACTATATCTTGGGATCTGGACCTGTTGCAGCAGCCTGTTGGCCCCCAAGGGGGCTGGCTGATTTGCAGCGGCTCGACTGGCGCTACATGGCGGTATAGTTGTAAACATGTGCGCCATGTGTACGAGTGCAGCACATGTCCTTGTGAACATATCTCCCTTCACACGTCCTTGATCAGTATGGTCGTACATCTCTACGTTTCTTGTAGCTGCAAGGGTGGAGGGCGTCCTTTCAAGACGGGCTTTCGCCAAATGGGCGGTCCGTGGTGCCCCCGCCTTTCAGTGGGGTGCCCCCCGCGTCGTGAAGAGGATCACCTGTAAGGACTCGTGAGGAGGGGGCTTTGCACGTGGAAGCGTGTTCTGTATCGTGGTTTGTACATTCTGCCTCCTCCTCCTCCCACTCCTGGCCCAACCTTGGCCCTTCTCCTCCGCTCTCCTGATGCTCCCCCTCGTCCACGACCTCCGGCTTGGAAGGCTCAGCTGGTCCCACCTGGGGCGCCTCCGCCTGCCTCTGCAGGACGAGGCGCCGGACATGTCCCTCGAGGAGGTCGAGAGCATCATCCTGGAGCCCGCTCTTTCTCGGTGCCGTCCTGTCCACACTCCGTGCCGATCGATCGGCTCGCTCTCTCGCATCGCTCGCCTCCATCGGTTCGACCATTTCGCCTCCGCCTCGCCCTCCGTGTCCGATCGTCTTACGTCTTCCGCTCGCTGACGTACGAAAGGTGGGACGCCCGCGGAATGAGTGGGCCAGCCAACTCGCAAAGCACGCTTCCATGTTTGAGGGCAACATCCACGATCAGGCCGGTCGGAGTGCCGGAGTGAGCAGGTATTGCATGTGTTAGGACATTTCACGAGTTTTCGGTTTTTGTCTTGTGTGTGTGTGTGTGTGTGTGTGTGTGTGTGTGTCTGTGTGTTCGATCATGCGTCCGCTTTATCCAGACCTCTTCCGCGCTGCCTTGCCACGGCCACGGAATCCTGAACATCGGGCCGAGTAACGGCGATCACCTCAAGTTCGCCGAAGGCGATGCAGAAGGGGAGGAATGGGGGGGGGACTGGGAGGCGCAGGAGGGTGTGACGGGAGAGGAGGAGAAGGAGGAGGAGGAGGAGGAAGAGGATGAGGAGAAGGAAACCCCATACGCGCACGACCGTGCACAGTACGACTAGGTGATGACCTACTTCTCCAGAACGCTGGACAGCTACTTGGGCGAGGCTGCCAACCCACCTGTCCACACGTTCGGGATGACGGAAACCGAAAGACCTGGCGCGCTTCGTCATCCACCAGCTCTCCAGCATTACCTCATACCCAGTGGCCAACGACCGCAGGGGGGACATCCTCACTTACATCAAGCGGGGAATACGCTACAATCCCACAGGCATACCAACGCTGTTCGCAACATCAGCTAACCAGAGGGACATCGCCAACCCCATGTTTGAAAATATGAACGATCTGATCAACAGCCAGGGAGCAGCACCACCGGCAGACCCAAAGGGCCAGTTAACGCGACCAGGTCTACACGACAAGGACGATACCCGACTACGGACATGCCCCACGAGTCAGTATTGCACCATCCACTACCAGCATCATCGCACCCCAAAGAGGGACGGATCACAACCGAGACAAGACACCCACCACCAGGACTCCCTGCAATAGCAGCTATCACACACTACCAATAGCCGACCTCTTCACCAGAAGGATGCTCCTGACGATGGACTCGAGAGCGGCCAGCCAACGCCTCCGCGAGATGCTTCAAATACAGTGCGCCTTCCCGACCTCGCCACTGGAGGACATCAGACCGCCCACTTGCAAGTCGAACAATGATCACCGACAGCAGCAAGCCCAACATCGAGGACGCCATCTACGACACCAGGTACCCCGTCGTTCGCTCCGACATCCAAACGGCCACGGACACCAGCGAGGAGGAATACTATCATGGTATGACAACATTGAGTGCACGATGACGAAACTTGACCGCGTGCCCACCTCAGGCAGCGACTGGCGTCGACACCGACTGTACGCCCAGACAGGCGATAACGAGGGATCTGCCGACAAAGCAGGAGACACACGCCTGACGATCGAGCTCTCTTACGATCAAGATTGGCACCACCAGCTGCTCCGTACCCGCTCCCGACCTCGGCGCTACTCTTTTATCAGACCGCCGTGCTCACTGCACGGACAGAAGCAGCAACAGCTGGGCACCAAACTCAAGATTCACCTTCGTACTCTCAGGGCGATAGCAGCAGTCCTGCCTCTCTCATGGCACATGCGACGGCGCCCACGCCATGGTCTGCAGTACGGCGGCTACATGAATGGCACGCTATGCTACGCAGGTGGTCCACAATTGTGGCTTTCTCAACCTCGCATGCTATGCAGACCACGCGTCGGGCGACTGCAACACTCCCACCGCTCTTACTGGCACACGCGACGGCGCTGGCCTTACACTATGCGTGCGATGGTGGAGCCTGCGGCAGGTAGCAGCGCCTGTGCGCTGGGGCCGCCGTGGCCCTAGCCAGGATAGCCGGCGGTGAGATCCCCATGTCCCGTCCCCCCCCCATGAGTGCTATGCCGCCCCATCCGTTACTACGCCACAAGAGCGGGCAGGGGACGGCAAGCGGGGCGAACGGCGGGGGGGGTGGGGGACAAAATGCTAGAAGGTGGAACCAGGAGGGAGTGGAGGTTGGTAGGGGTCCTCTCCCCTGTGCGCGGTTTGCACAGCATACGTTGGTGAGAAAGCCATTCATGCGGACCCACGCACGTAGCCGCTGTAGTGCAGGCCATTTTGCCATCATGGCCACGGTACTACGGTATGATACGGTACGGTGGCAAGAGCACGCGGTGCCAGGACGGTCAGCGCTGTCCGGTTAGGGCCACCAGATTCGGTAGCGCCGGTACGGTATTAGGGCCGCACGGTTCCGGTACCCCCTGGGGGGGGACCGTGGGGGCCCTGGGACCCGGGCGGTCTTAGGACCAGGGGCGGGGTGGGTGGGGCCAAAGATTTGGGAAGGGTCCCGGGATTGGGGGGGGCCCAGGACGGGGGGGCTCCCAGAACCGGGGGGGTGTCCCGTGACCGGGGGTTGGTCCCAGAAGTTCGGGGGGGAGTCTCGGGACCGGGCGAGGTCGTCGTCGTGGGCCGGGACCAGACCGGGACCCGTTCTCGGGATCCCGGGGGGGGTTTGGGACCAGAGTGGTCCCGCGTGGGCGGAGGGAGGGTCCTCGACCCCTCGGGACTGGGACAGGGCGGATCCCGAGGGACCAGGGGTGGGTCTCGGGTGATCCCGGGGGGATCCCAGGATTGGGGCGGGGATCCCAGGGTCAGGGGGGGGGTCCTGGGGTCCCGGGACTGGGGGAGGGTCCCGGGACTGAGGCGGGGTCCCGGGACCAGGGACTGCGGAGGGGGTCCCAGGAGAGGGGGGTCCCTGGGACGGGGAGGGGGTCCCAGGGATCGGGGGGGGGGTCCCGGGGACGGGGGGAGGTGCGGCGGTCCCGAGGGTGCCGATCGACCGCGGCCGGTTGGCGCGGTACGGATAAGCCGCGGCTGGGTTTTGTCCAGTACGGTGGCGGTGGCCGGTACGGTATCGTCCGTACGGTAGCGGTGGCCAGTACGTTAATTATCGTCCGTTATTGTGTAACGATTGGTGCGGTACGGTGCGAGATGGTGCCAGTTGGCTGGTGTTTGGTACGGTAGCGGCCAGCATGCAGGCCGATCCAGATCCAGCCACCCTCCTTTCGCTCGCCCAACCTACGCCTGCAGCAACCTTCACCGCTCTGCTCGTGTGACGGGGCGGCGGGAGTCATGCACGTTAGGATGGCACGGGGGAAGTTGCGGACGAAGAACTACCTCGGCCGCCTCCGCGGATGGCCCAAACTTCCGCCTCCCCACTGAACACCGCTGGATAGACCCCACGGTGACCCTACTCCGCCCAGTTGGGACTCATCGCCTGCCTTTGCGGGGGAGGGTTCCTCGGGTTGGACTGGCCCTACGGGGAGGTGAAGAGACCTTTGTGACGTTCTCTCTCGTGAGCGTGACCGCGTCGCACTCGCAGCCCATCTGCCGTGCAGCCCATGTTTTTTATTCTCGCTATGGCCACCCGTACTTATCAGCCCAGCTGCGCAGGCAGAACCATAAGTCCACGCGCAGCCACAGCAATCGCAAATACCGAAACGTTCGCTAACTCAGGCAAGGAACGGCCGATCGGCCGGCCTGCCTTGGAGCGGCGTTACAGGTGAAGGAAATTGCCCGACTGCTTCAGCCAGCAGGCCAGCTTTTTGCGCCTCTACCATTCGACCTCCCTCATTAAACCTCGAGAAGTATTTAAGACCCCCCTTCCGGCAAACAGAGACGCTTCCCGCACCTGGAAGTGTTATTCAGGCATCTGGAGTATGATGTGGCTCTCGCCTTAGCGCCGCGCGCATTCGTTTCAAACACTTGCAAGCGCTTCACGACTTGAAGGCGGGTTGTTTTCAAAATGTGATTCTCGCTTCAGCGCCGCGCACATTCGATTCGTTGCACAAACTTGCAAGAGGTTCACGGATTGAGGGCGGCTCGTTTTCAACATGTGGGTCTCGCCTTAGCGTCGCGCACATTCTATTTATCACGTTGCAGGAGTTTTACGGATGGAGGGCGAGCCGTTTCCATGATGTTGTTCCCGCCTTCGTGCCGCGCGCATGGGTTTCGTTGAGGCGGGAGCTACATTTGAAACCGAGCCCATCTCAATCCGTGAAATTCATGCAAATGTTTACAACGAATGTGCGCGGCGCTCAGGCGAGAGCTACATTTTGAAACCGAACCGCCCTCAATCCGTGGAGGCCGTGCGAATGTTTGTAGCGAATGTGCGCGGCGCGAAGGCTAAAGCTACATTTTGAAAACGAGCCGCCTTCAATCCGTGAAAATCGTGCACAATTTTTTATCACGAATGCGCGCTGCGCTACGGCGAGAGCCACATGTTGAAAGCGAGCCTCCCTCAATCCGTGAAGCTCGCGCAACTTTAAACAACGGATGCGCGCGGCGCTAAGGCGAGGACACTATTTTGAAATCAAGCCAGGGGGGTATATTGTATTTGTTTTGCTGTTTGGCACGGGGCTAAAGTTATCGTTCTGCTAAACTCCCCCCTATATTTTTGTTTGGGTGCGGTGCTAACGATATCACCGGGGCGGTCTCAAGTACTTCTCGAGGTTAGCCGCCGCGCGCCTCAGCGACCTCCCGAATGCACGGCTGGAAGACCTTGCGTTGGCCAGGGCGGCCGTGGCCAGCAGCTGCGCCTGCCCCGTGTCTCTGCGCATTCTAAGAGGGTACGGGGTAGGTGGGCTGGTGGTGGGACGGGCGCGGAGGAGCATACCAGAGCAGTTGCACGGGCAGAACCACACCTGATGCTGCTGATGATGATGCTGATGCTGATGATGACGATGATGATGATGATGACGATGATGCTGATGATGATGATTAGTATGATTGTGGTGGTGATGCTGATGCTGATGCTGATGCTGATGCTGATGATGATGATGATGATGATGATGATGATGATGATGATGGTGATGGTGAAATGCTGCTGCTGCTGCTGCTGCTGATGATGATGATGATGATGATGATGATGATGATCGAGTGCGTATAGTAGACGTACAGGACATGAATACTCAGTACGTTGTTGGTTTGGGCGGGGAGCCGTAACCGTGCGGTGCAGCCGCAACGGTTGTCCGATGGTCCGACACACCACGCCGCGTGGGCGTGACGGCCACAGGTGATTGGAGAGGGGCTCCAGCCAGTCAGCACAGACGGCCGAGGCAAGGCGACTACAGAGCTGATGTTCCACCAATCGTCATCATACATACACTTGATGAAGCACGCCTCCGTGAAGCACGCCACGATTAAGCACGCCACGATTAAGCACGCCACGATAAGCACGCTTGATGAAGCACCACCGTGAAGCACTCCCCGATTAAGCACTCCCCAACGAAGAACTCCACGATGGTGCCGTCCACGACGGTGAAGCACTCCACGATGTAGCACTCCACGATGAAGCACTCCACGAAACACGCTGTGATAAAGCACTCCTCGCTAGTCTGGGTCGGCGCCGAGACCGACGAGGTCGAAGAGGCTCGGAGAGTTTACAGTGCTGCGCGAGGCAGTGCGATAGGGGAGTGCATGGTGAGCCCTAGTCGAGGCCGAGGAGCTGCGGCGCACGGTGCTGTTGCTGCGGCAGTTGGGGCGGTTGGTCGTCGCAGTCCTCGTCGGCGCGGTTTTTCGAGCTGTTTTGGGCTCTCCCCTCCTCCCTCCTCCTGGCCAGCGCTGGCGATGGCATGGCGAGGCACTGTCGGAGAGTGCTTGGAGAAGACAGGTTCGGTCAATTGTGACCACGACAACACTCGATGACGACGCAGTCCACGCCGAAGCACTCCTTGGTGACGCGCTCTCGGGGAAGCACTACTTGGTGAAGCACTCCTTGATGCATCACTCCTTGGTGACGCGTTCCTTGGTGAAGCACCCTGTAGTGAAGCACTCCGGGCAGCACGCATTCACGAAGCATACAGCCGGGAAGTTTGCCTCCTTGAGGCAGGCCACAATGAAGCACGCTTCCGTGAAGCACGCCTCCGATGAAACACACCACAATGATGCATCCGCGAAGCAGGCCTCCACGATGTACTATTCCACGATGAGCATGCCACGACGAGGAACCTCTCCGATGAAGCCGCGATGAAGCACGCGCTCACTCGGTGAAGCACCGCTAGTAGGCACCTTTCTGGGAAGCATGCTACGATGAGTCACGCCACCTTGAAGCACGCCTGTCCGAGGAACTGTGCCACAATGAAGCCTTTCAGGAGGCCCTCCTCGACGAAGTACGCCTGCATGATGAAGCACGCCACCCCGATGAAGACCACGATGAAGCCTTCCACGATGAAGCCCTCGATGGAGCCTTCACGACTTACCACTCCACGATGAAGCACGCCACTTCCTGAGGAAGCACGACCCGATCACTTACCCGACAGCGAAGCACCCCCCACGAAGCACTCCACGGTAAAGCGCGCCGCGACAAGGAACGCCAAGATGAAGCAATCCACGATGAAGCACTCAATGAAACTCCCCACGATGAAGCGCTCCTTGATGGCATGCCCCACGATGTTTCGCACCCCGAGTAAGCGCAACACTACGACACATAGCGCTGGTATGTGGCCAACTTGAGTGCGCGAGACAGCGCACCAGGATACCACGAGGTAGATCACACGACGCTGCTGGCACATTGGCACCAGATGGGTAGACCGAGCGCACTGACTGCCTGTCGCCGACGCCGCCAGCATACGAGGGACACCTGAAGTCCAGCCAGCAAAGGTGGTTCTCCAACCAAACAGCGTGACGCGCGATGAGTGCGCACCTCGTGGAAGGAGAATTCGAGAATAGACAAGTGACGGCTTTGGGAAGCCCATCCAGGCCGTGGAAGCAACGCAGGCATTGAAGGGGATTAGCGATGATTACCGGTTGCGTATATTAGTATGACCAGGAGATGAAGAACCCAGAACGTTAATGGGTTCTGACGGGGAGCCGCAACCGTGCGGTGCAGCCGCACTTGTTGCCCGATGGTCCGGCACACCCTGTTGTGTCTGCACCCCGCTGCGTGGGCGTGACGGCCTTCGGTGATTGGAGAGCGATTTGAGCCAATCAGTTTGTATAGACCCGAGGACGGACGAGGCATGGTGACTACAGAGATGATGGGGATGCTGGTGATGATGGTGGTGATGATGACGATGCTGTTAATGGTGATGATGGTGATGGAGACGACGACGACGACTACGATGAGGAGGACGATCATGATGATGATGGTACGGATACTGCTGCTGCTGATAGTGATGATGCTAATGATGGTGGTGCTGATGTTGATGCTGATTGTGTTGAGCGACGGCGACGAGGAGGATGGCGATTGTGGCGGTGGTGATGACGATGTCGGTGTTAATGAGGATGATGACGACGAGAAGGGGAGGAGGAGGAGGAGGAGGAGGAGGAGGAGGAGGAGGATAATGATTAACTCTTGCGGTTTAGCTTTGCAGCGAGTGACAATCAAATGCGCCCCAGGAGCTATTCCAGAAGTACGACAAGGCATGTCTGCGGCCTTGCCGAAGCTTTCTCGCAGTCCTGCCGACGCCGCCGACTGCCTGTCGTCTCCAAGTCTGGAAGGGGCTGTAAAAGTCCCGTCCTTCTTCCGCTCCTCATCAGGCTGCTGCTGCTCCCTTGAAAACCGCAACAAGGACCGATCTTCGACCGAAGAGGGTGGAAAACGACAAGCGCTGAACTATATTTTTGACCTTTCGAGGGCCCCCTAGAAAGCGTATTGGGGGTGTCGTCCTGGAGACTGTTGGAAACGTCTTGCGACCTATCGGGAGCTTTTAATGGGCTCTTGTCTCTCGGGTGCTTATTGCATCCTTCGGCCGTCTCGGAAGCCTCGGAGAGTATTTGGATAGCTTCATGGAGGCGCCGGGGCGCCTAGGATCCCTTTGGGAGAGGGGGGGATGCATGCGACAATGTGTGATGACGAGGGAGGGGCCTTCGAAGATGATCGAGCTTCCTGCCAGGCAGCACACAAAAATAAGTATGTGTGTGTGTATGTGTGTGTGTGTGTGTGTGGGTGTCAGTTTATTCATTCGTTCGCTCGTGTGTGTGTGTGCGTGTGTGTGTGTGTGTGTGTGTGTTCACTTCGCTTGTGTCTGAGCGCCTTCGCAGGGCGTATCCTTCTTAGCCCGTCGCGCCCTGCGACTGCATGATTGCCTGGAAAATTGGCAGTTTCGCAGGGGGACGTCTGTGTGTGTTTACAGTCTCGGGGTATCGCAAGCGAGGTCCAGCTTGGTTTCCTCGGTCGGCCGGGGGTGGGGGGGTGGCAAAAAGGCGGAGGGAGGGATGAGGACTTGAGGGTCGAAATGATGAGGAGGAGGAGTGTGGAGGGCGGTAAGAGGAATTCGGGCATGATAAGAATAAGGTTGGAGCAGGAGGACGGGGATGGCAAGGCGGAGCGAGACCAGGAACAGCAGCAGCCTCCCCGGAGGACTCGAATCAGTATCTGGACCCTGGCGAGTTCAAGAACCTCATGGAGGACCTCCAGCAAAGGCTTGACTTCCCCAAGGAGCGGTTCCAAACGGTTCGCCGACGCTTGGGCCCCTACCGTACGTCCACTTTTCTTCCTCTCCGTACTCCCTACGATCCGCCCCCCCTTCCCTTCCCTTGCAGCATGCAGGCAGGAGCGCCCCCGTACTCTTCACTGCTGTTTCGCTGCCATTATGGCTGAAGTGGGCCCGGCTGGTAGAGCTTGAAGAGGACTCTTGATTCGCCCACAAAAGCGGTGACGCTGTCTTCTCGAGAACCTCGGGGCCGTCGTAGATCTAGTGCAGAGGGCTGTTGTTCAGTTTCTTTGGGGACAAAGGACGCGCGGTTTTTATGATTAGGCCTCCCGCGGGACACCGATGCATTCGAATGCGCGAGGCGCGGTCTCCCGAGGAGTGCTCGCGCCCGATGCGCGCGCGGAATGGGTTTCCCAACCTGGAAGCGAATGGTTTTTATTTGCCTTATTTGCCCGAGCAGTCTCCGGCAGAGTACGCAGGTCTCGCCCCTTCTTTTTCTACCCCCCCCCCCGGGATTCCCAGGGCCCGATGCGCCATCTTTCCGCCCCCCGAACAGACGCGAGAGAACCCGACGGGCGAGGGGATGAGACGAAGTGAGGGCGATCCCCGACGACGACGTTACAAACCATTATTGACGACGCGACGGAGACAGACGATCGAAGACGAGAAGGGAGTACTTCGATCGATGCGTACTCACTGGATCTGAGGCTCATCAGCGTTGATCAGCGGCTTGGCTTAAAGTATTCGGGAGGCCATCACCATCCATGCTCAACATGCCAAGCCCAGAGACCGCCAGATGACGATGTGGTGGCAACTGGCCAACTTGCTGTTGGCTGTAGTGAACACCAGAGCTTGGGAGTTCATGAGCATGGTGCGCGGCGACCGACTTTGGCCACTGAAGACGGTGAAGCGCGATCGGCGCATTGCATTCAGCCAGGTCATGCGCACGCACTCGCTCACACGCCTGAAGGGGGATGCCAACGGGAGTGCCAGGTGGTGGTGCCGCGACGAATGTCATCTTCGCCTGGGATGTCGTGGGAAGCGGGGCAAGATGGACCAAATCAAGGACGGCCTCCCGCCGAGCTACGAGGACATCATCATGAGGGTGGCTGGGCGCGAACATGGCATGCGTTCAGAATCTTCGGGGCCAAAGAGTTCTTCGCGTGATTCCACGGCAGGAACTTCGTCCACAGGAGGAGCTAGTAGTGGACAGGGTGGTCGAGAAGGAAGTGCCGGTGCTGGCGCAGGATCTACCTGCGGGTCCGGCAGCGGCGAAGATCTGGAGCGCTCGCAAGAGGCAGTCTTTTGAGGAAAACATCGACACGGGGAACGGGATCCAGCGCGCGGACGATCAGTTGAAAGAGCAGCGGGAGATGTTGAGGACCATCATGCGAGTCGTACAGGACCATAATACAACTCCCCAGAGGCTGGCGAACACGTCAACAAACGCGTCAGGTTTACTGACGACTCCGGCACCGGCGCCTAGCCTGAAGAAGTTGCGCCAGAGGAAAGATTTGGACGATGGGTTTGTGGAGATTCCCGACGGGGCCCCGGCCGATCTGTGATGATGACTTTTCTGAGTGAGTCCACCATGCAGAATCAAGACATGAGGTGGAACAGTCTACCTCAGGTTGTGCAGCAAGCTGTTCGTGAGTCGATCTCGTGTGCCTTCAGTGATGAGGGTCCAGGTTTTCTGATCACGTATCCGGACGTTCTAGCGATTTCGAGAATTTCCCAGATGCAGGGCACCCGAGATCTACAATTCATTAATATCTGCGAGGTTGCTGCGGAACTATTCGAGCAGACCGCGTGGCAGGGGCTTAGGATGGGAGACGTAACCGATGATGATTTTGAACCCACTCGCCCCTGCAAATTTGTCTGCAAGGTTGAGTGCCCCATTCAGGGGGATTATTGAGAGGTCGGTTCGTCTAGGGGGTCTGCGGACGGGGTTATCGAGGTCTTTTCCCCTCCCCGAGTGGCTTCGCTGATGAGGAAGTATCAAGTAAAGGGCCTTGGCAGTTGGGGCCTGAAGACGGGTTGGGACCTTCGTCAGGCGAGCCATCATGGGCAAGCTAGGGGGCAGATCGGAACGCAAGCCGTGGGTCGCATTCCTAGAGCCCCCGCGTAGAGCTTTTCTTCCCAGATTCTTCCGCTGGGGGACCGTTCAGAACCCAGTGAGGAGGTCCCCCGAACACGAGCCGAAGGCATGGCCATGCTCCGTTTCGACATGGAGATTGCAAGGGTGCAGCGCCAGGCTGGTCGGAAATTCCTGTTTGATCGCCCCCGTGGAGCTCCCTTTCGGAACGCTGAGCGCGCGCCCAAGCTTGCCGATCAAGAAGGGATGTTCTATGTCAGAGTCGACCGGCGTCGATTCGACCTTTCCGTTTCTCCGGAAGGGGCATCCGTGAAGCCCGCGGGATTTCTCGCCAATAGTCAAGAGGCCGCCAATATTTTTGGCCACAGGCGTGAAGGAGGGCACCGGCGCGCGCATCTGGAAGGTAGCTCTTTCGCTCGGGCCGCCGAGGTCTATCCTCCCAAGCTGCGTTTGAGACTCGCCGCCGCCATTAATCGTTGCATTCAGACGTCCAGGCGAGCTGATCACATCGCGCGCGCAGAAATAGGGCCGGCGCCCACGGAGCTTCTAGCGTCGAAGGAAGGGCCGAGGAGGAGGAGGAGGAGACCGCCCCGCGGGCTCACGTTGAAATTCGGGGACAACCGCTCATGTCTCTGCTGCAACAAGGGACATGGAACAGGAGGGCCAGTCGCATCTCAGAGGTCTTTGGAATTTCCAAACAAACAGGTTCAGGATGCCTCGCCCCGCGGCCCCGGGGCCAGCGAGTCAGGCGCGCGCCCCGCGTATCCAGCACCACCTCAGGATGGCGAAGGACAGGGCCAGGGCCGTGAAGCGCAGGGGGGTCCTTCGACCGTGGAGATCACCCCGAAGACCCAGGGAATGATCTGCAACGCTCGCGCGAACCTGGGTCACCCCTCGATCGAGAACTTCGTGAAAGTGTTGAAAGCCGATCAGGTCATGGGGGAAGTGATAGCGCATGTGCGAAAACACGTCCAATGTCCCGAATACGAGGCACGCCGAAGGCCCTCCGATCATAGGCGGGTAGCCCTGCCGAAGACCTACCAGTTCAATGGAGTGGTGGGTGGGAATTCATTTTTTGTGCCTGCCAGGGAAATTGCATTGCGCTGTCTGAATATTGCCTGTCGTGGGGCAAACTTCTAGATGGTGAGTAAGTACGAAGGTGGATCCACGGTGTGCCGGTGTGTTTTTGCAACCTCATGGATCAGGTATTTCGGCCCCCCGGGGATGAACGTGCGCGACGGAGGCCCAGGGTTCGAACAGTTCTTCGCGCGATGGGGCCGAACATGAAGGGGGCATGTCTACACGTAGTCAACGGGGGGAGTTCACGGGGGAACGGAAAGGCGGAGCGTCGCGGAGCTTGGGCGAAGGATCTAATTATGAAAGGGTTGGGCGACCAATTGGTGGGGGGCGAAAGTGACCTCGAGGTTCTGCTGCGCGGTATCGTGAGCTCCAAGAGCAGATGCCTCCATCGAGGTTGATCTAGCCCCTACCAACTAGTATTAGGATAATTCTCGAGTGCCAAGCGGGGTCTTGTCATATGATGCGGAAATCGGAGCTGACGCAGCAGGCTCGATGGGAACCCCTTGGGATCGAGATGCTCTAGCAGCGGGTTGCGCGAGAAAGAGCAGCATCCGAGAGTGCGCTCGTCGAGAAGTCTGCCGCGTCACGAGTAAGCGTAAAGTTATGGGAGCCAACTAGTCGCGACTTCATCGGGATCGGATCATTCGTTTGGGTCAAGGGGTTTGTTCGGTGAAAGGCACCGAGGGGCGGCAAGAATACTACTGCTCTGCAGAAAGACAGATGGGCGGGCCCTGGTGTCGTGATCACGCGGGCACATCATGCCGCGTGGGTGGCCATGCGAACGCGCTCGTGGAAGTGTTCGCCCCACGCGACGAAGCTTGGTCAGATGCAGTCCCAGCGTCTACAAGAGTGGAAGGCATGCAATCCATGTCCCTCGCTCCCTCGAGCGCCGCCGCAGGAGGCGCCAGCGTCGCGGCTTCCTTCGAGAAGGGCGACTTCAGCAGCTCCGGGAAGATCGAGCACGGGGCCGGCGTCTCCCGTTTCAGAGGAACCCGAG